GTGTGTGTGTGTGTGTGTGTGTGTGTGTGTGTGTGTGTGTGTGTGTGTGTGTGTGTGTGTGTGTGTGTGTGTGTGTGCTTATTTCTGCTACAGAGTGAGGACCGTCATGTTTTATCTCATAAAGTGAGGTCATTCGTGGGAAGTGAGGACATTTTCCTGGCCCTCACTTTTTTGCAGTTCGACTGTGCTCTACTAGTTAGGTTTAGAGGTAGACTAGTAATGGTTAGGGCTAGTGAAAATGTCTGCGTTAGGTATAATTACAGTTACAAAAATGAACGTAAGTCAATACAAAGTCTTCAGTTTGATGATAGTAGGCTACAAAGATGTGTGTGTTTGTGTGCGTGTGGGAGTCCAACGTTTGTCACGACTATCAGAATGCCCACTGTGTCAGCCAAAGACTATGTGGGTCAAGAGGAAATGTTTTAAACTTTTTTAAAGATGAAATACGTTTTTTCCAAATTGACGGTAACAATAAGAATGATGCATGTTCTCCTCGTGCTTGCGTGGGTTTTCTCCGCATACACCCTTAAAAACATGTACAATAGGTTGCCTTCAGGCCCAGGCCTCCCTTGAAAAAGAGATCTGAGATCTCAAAGGTAAAATGCCTGGTTAAATAACAGTAAATAATAATAATAATAATAAATAATCTCCATGGTTTGTCTTTCAATCTGYTCCCTTTTGCTGCAGTTTGCTTCGTTTGTAATTTTCATGAAAATAAACTCTGAAATACACCAAATTCCCTGCCCATATCTAATAATAAAGCCTTGCTGAAGTGGACAAATTTGTAAAAGTAACAACTGCCGCAGCATTCTTACTAAATTTATTAATATATTTGTCAACCCAACACATACCATCTACCCCGCTTCTGAAAAAAATGGAAAGAAAAACAACTCAGCATCTGTTTCTGCCACTGTTTTTTTTATTTTGAAAGGTTTATGAAGTGGAAACAATGGTCTTGGGTGAGCTCAGCTTTACTAATAGAATCTGTATATCTATGCTATAACGATTTCCAGCTACAGCATTGCCCCYATAGGTACAGCGGGCCACCAGGGTTTACTCGTCCCCTCACCAGGCTGAAGCTAGGTTTATAGTTGACGTGTTGAACTCACCCCGAGGGTGCGCACGCTAACAGAGATGCGATGATGGCGTCTCCGCCCCTGCACGTCGGCCCTGCGCGATGTTACGGTTCCTGTTCGTGCACCACCAAAGTTTTGGAACTCCAAACGGGCTCCATTCAAATACTTTATTTGTCCGTCAAGCATTTGTTCTCCTTTTCAACAACATTTACCAAGTAAAACAAGTAAAAGTGTACTGCCACGTTATGTTGGAGAATACTAAAACAACATACTGTAAGTGTCAATTATAAACACTTACACCGCTTGGCACAGGAGCGTGCATACTCTGTAAAGTCCTGCAAGAGTAACAAAGCATGACTACAACCAAGCCTTTCCTCCTGCGCTGATAAATGATAAATGTTCTGTTACTTCCAAACAGGATAAGTGGCTTGGAACTAGCATTAATGTACTGCTTCAACACCCAATCCTAACCCTAGCTGCCCCATTATAAACGTTATCGCCAGGGTTAGCAAGTTTTCTTTGGGAAACCTTGAGCTAGCAGAAATAGCAGCAGCACATGTCTCTGTGCCTAAAGGCTTTGTTTCATCTGAATACAAATCCAGGTCTTATGCTGCGTTCACACCGAACGCGATTTCAGCTTCAAAATCGCAGCCAACGCTGAAGTTTGAAGCTTGTGCACTTTGAGGTCAGACGCAGGAC